CAGCATTATTAACTCAAACGAGGACTTGAGCAAGTTGAAGGTGAACAGCGCTTTTGTTGCCAGGGCCTTTCAAAGCGCAGGCACGGAAGCACTCATTAAGACTCACTCACTAGACAACACGATGTTACTCTAAGGGTGCTTACTGAAGACACTGAAGGTGAACGTTGGGACTGAATGAATCGAATGTGAAGATAGTTGAATAAAGAAAACTAACATCCTTTTGAAAACCAAAGAAAAATAAGTGTTTTACTTGAAATAACCAATAAAATCCACGAATTAATGACAATCTAGGACACACGTTTTAGAGTTTTATGCAAACTTTTAGCAATATTAAGATGAATGAGAAAGCGACGTCAACATTTAATTTAACCTCCACTACAAAGAACTAATGACGCTTTGGCAATTAACGAATCTTAAGAAGAGGATGCCATTGACACTAAGCAGGTTTAAGTGAACATGCATCAGTCTGTTAGGTCCAAATGTTTTCTATGGACAAAAACAGGTTACTTGTAGCTAGGGCAAATTTCACAGAATCTGGTGAATCTAGTGTAGCATAGCAATTTCTCGTTTTCACTGCGACTCCACCACTTAAAATAGTTGTGCTCTTTTTGCTTTGGCTACTGGAATATCAGTCTCTTAAACACCGTAAATGTCGTACATTTTATTAGATGCGACGATTCCAATGCCGATATCAGAATGAGTAATGCCTTTCGAAAAATCTTTTGTCTGCACATAGATAGTGCAGTTTTTGGGCTTTCACGTGATCCATATTGCACAAATTACAACAAGAAGTAATTTCAAGATCCTGTTTTCACTGACTGAAGCAGTGACCTCTTAGCAAGGCCATGTGTGCATGCGGGTCGTGTGGACAAACTTGAAACGACGTAATCAATTTTAGGCACAACTTCTCAGGTTGAAGACTCAACTTCCATTTTTCCAGACTGCATTGTCTTTGTTATGTCAACATTTTTCAGACATCTAAATATATTGCTGATCTCGATTAGACTGGTTCTGGGTGTTGGTTTCCAAATTCCGTACTAGGTGCTCAGCAAGTATCCTTAAAAGCTCTATGATTTTCTAAATTTAATTCCTAATTTAAATCCACAGAAGCCTATCTTAGCAGGTTCAACATCATGTGACTTTGTAACACTGTAGAGTCCCCCTAGAGTAATCCAAAATGAAAAAAAACTTTAGTAGACCAGTTGATGGATGTTGTCATCATCAAGGTCACTCCTAAATCGTTGTGCTTAGTCTGTAAGCTTTTTTTGGAAACCCCATGGACAAGCATCTTGTAAAACAAAAAGACGCCATCCATAGACCACATCGACTAACCATTAATCTTGAAATAATGGAAGAATGGGAATAAGTTGGATATAAGTGTTTGCTAACACTAAAAAACCACTGTTCCCTGCGGTATCAACAAAGTCAAAATAATTGGCTTTCCCATACTTGTAGAACAAAAAAATCCAATGTTGCGAACGCCAAGTCTTACCTCAAGCTAATGCCATTTCCGACACTTCCTTTCATCAGCCATCGGTTCAACCCAAATAACCACTTACAGAATATCTACCACACACACAGGTAGGTTCCATAGAGCACAATATTAACGCCGTGCCAGAAATTTCAATAAAGCTACTGCAGAAATTTGGTAGATATAAAGAAAATTGTTACCTATTTTGGTTACTTATGGTGGCCTGCTTTAGTAAAATTACTATCTGGCTTAGCAATGCGAATGAAATTAATAAATTAAATATATGCAAATCAGAGTGAGTAGATCCTAAGGATAAGTGTTTTGGTTCAAAGAATTTAAGCTTATTTTTGTTAAATGTGCATCAAGAGATTGCAGTCAAAAATTTAAAAAAGCACATTTTCCAAAACACGTCAACTTTACTACATGTTTTGTAATGTGTTAGATACGAAGGAAAATGACAACTTTTATTTTAGTATGACATTTCGTAAAAGACGAGCAAATTATATTTGAATAAAAATTTATTTTCGAAATACAATCTCACCTGTAGCAAGGTACTCGTCGTACTTACCCAACGGTCACGCGAATGTCAAAGCAACACGTGGAATTGTATTAATTCGTGTCAATGGAGCGCATTGTCCTCGATGCATTTGAATCTGCAACGCCTCAACATTTGATTCTGATAAACATGATGAGCACAAACTGGCGTTATCCAGATGTGATTCGTGTGATTAAAACGCTGTTGGTAATTCTAACTCATTCATAAGTCTAGGTTTGGTGCAAAATGGCATCAAGTTTAACATGGCTCAAAGTGACCGGACAAAAAATCCATATACAAAGTTCTACCTATAGTTCACATCTGACTTCATTTAACTGAGAAATATGAAAATGCTTACGGAATTAATTCATTTGTATTACGCAAATTTTCAGGACTAACACATTATTGTACAAAAGGCTTGATTGTACTTTGAGGGAACTGTAAATGGAATTTATTTTTATAGTTAAATCTATCCTACATATGTAATTAGTCGAAAATAAAGTCGTCAAACGTTAGTGCTACCATCTAGCTAAGTGTTAAAGGAAAAAGAAAATATATGACATGTATTGACTTTACCAAACGATCTGACTTAGCGTCACAATGTTTCCATAAACAGACAACTTGCAATATTACTGTACTCCATACTCCAAATATAAACCTTTGACAATGTTAAATTGACCATGAATCACGAGCTATTTATATAGTGTTACGAAGGATAAAAATCAGTGAGACCTCTAAGTATTCCTTTCGAAGATATAAAGGTCACCTAGATGTGGGAAACATTGATGTGATCGAATTCGATTTGCAAATTTTAGAGATTCGTAAATTGCAGAATATCGGCAACATATTGCGTTCATTTACTCTCTGGGCCCAAGAATCTACACTTGGGCTTTTATGGAATAGTAGATAGAGCAAAATAAGGGCAACCTGCATCATTCGAAATACACACACATAGAGTGTTCCGTAAAATTGTAATATTTTGTGGCTGTACTGCTGAAAGACGTAAAGTCCTCTAAAAAATTAACTGATTTAAAGGAAAATAAATCAAAGATTATAAGAAGAGACAAGTTTCAGAGTTTTCGTCACGTAGAAAAATTATGGCTTCGCTTGTTCAAACAATCCTTTAGAAAGTGGACGCAGTTTCCACACTAAGTCAACCACAGTATTTCAACGTAGTTACCAATTTCCTAAACCTAAGTGTAATACTATAGCAAAATGTTCCATAATCAGATCGTTAAGAGGCCTGAATAACAACTGTTTCTGTCGAATAAAAAACACAACTTTTCATTCTAACAAGTAACACTAAATGAAATTGGGAAACTTTAATTAATGGTAAGATAAATCACTTAGACAAATCATAAAAATCGGAAAACTGGGGTAAAGGTTTTTATTGCAATTGTCATCGTATACAATCGGAAGATTAGGTTATGGTCTTAACATCAACAAATGTTACTTGGGTCGAACGTAACATTTTTAAACCACCAAGGAAAGTGCCTATTAAAAACTGACATGGAGTAGTCACAATGCCAGCAGCACCAAAAACAGTTACAAACTATTTCGAGCAGCTGACTGATGGCGCTTATTTAGGGGTGCCTAGGGCTGCGTATATAATCACAACGGGTACTAGTTGACTTGGTGTTAAATGTGGATCTTGAGGGAATTGGATACATGTAGGCAGCTACTTATTTTAGGTTAGCCACTTGTTGGGGAGTCAAACCGTATAATCATGGTTGCCTAAAAAATTGTATCAAATAATTGAGGTTTAGTTTATGACAACATCACGAACAATGAGGCACGTGATAATGTAGGAACTTAAATATGTATGATACTCATTCAGTAGAATCAAGTTGATCTCTCCGAATTCACAAAACATTTGTATTTATAAAATTAAATAAATAAATCCGTTCAAAATTAAAATTGTACCGGGCATTACCAATGATCTTGGACATGAATTAGAGAGGATCAAATACGACGATTACAATGATTAAATACTTATAAAAGTAGTCAAGCAGCCTTTATAAGCCCCTAAGTTGCTTTGAAGAATTGTCAAATTTTGAACGATTCTTTTGCATTTGAATTAATTCGATAAATGCAACGCGTTTAAACCTATCGGGAAAAGCCAATCACTTAAGGCAGTAGGGTCGGAATGTTAGTTGGAATTATTGAAGCTGTCATCGTACTATTTCCTTGTAGCCACTAGTTGTCTTTAGTAAAGTTTCAAAAGAATCATTTTGCTTTAATTTGATTTAATGTTCATGTTGCGCCAACCGGAATCATAGATGCTGAATAATGTTGATAAAGTTTGTAACACCTTAGGCTCGTTAAACGTACACATTAAAGCGAAGTAGTTTTGAAATGTAAAGTCAGTTATATTACATGGTTACGTACCGGTTTAATTTTTAGTACGAGATACTGGGAACGCACATATGTGGCATGTATCTAATCTTTGAATTTGAGTTACAGTGAACGCGCTAACTTATGTTGTTTCTTTGTGGAGCTTAGTTAGTACTTCCCATGTATTCTTAAGGGAAGGATATCGCCAGGATTCCTGTAAATTAACATCAACTGTATTCATTTGCTATCAAGCAATAATTGATTTTATCCAAATGTTATTTGAAGTGTTCATAGGTAGTAAAAGTGGTATGGCTTTCTCACTTTTTTTGTACTGTTTAAATAGTTACTTTAAAGACGCACTATCTTTTCACTGCTACACGAGATTTTAGACTGTGTTGTGTACCCGAGAACCTTTCGAATTCATCTATATTTTATTCTTTCACGACGGGGGTCGTCGCAAAATGTTTGATGCGCATGCTTCTGCAGTAATACATTATGTAACTTTCAGCACCCCGAATAACAATCCTTTGTGGGGTAGTGCAGCCCTGCAGGTCAAACAACGTTACGAATAATCTGTTATAAAGCGGTACTCTTTGTACTTGGATTGTCACACAATAGTTTTACTTTTTTCGCGACTTGACGGTTTATTTTCATTTTAGAATGAGGGCCCGTTATCTTCGAAATCTCATGTTTGCAATCACAGGACCGGCGTTGATTAACGTCCCAACTGGTTTTAGGACACCAGTTAATGCCAGTTCTATTAACGCATTCTTTAGGCCGAACCCTATGTCACTGATGTATTTGAAAGAACTTTTACTTTCGGAGTTAACATGTGTAATGCATGTGTAGATTTACTTAAATGGGGTGTCCTCCTGTGGCTACCTTTTGCGATCCCTAACCGTAAGTTTTCGATCTCATTATTTGCCTTGATTTAGTTCGTCAGTGGAATACCTCGGTTTTCTATATAAAATCGGTTTGCGTGTTTTCAGTGACATATCTTTCACTCCTAATCTTGAGGGGTAAATATTTTACTGCAGTTATTAAATTTATTGATTTCTAGGAGTCGCACGCCTAATGAATCCGTCTTATAAGCGGTTTGTGATAACTTATTTAGATGCAGAGGAAACTTTGGATCAGACTTTGATTGTATGTCCAATTTATTTTCTGAGCTCCATGTAGGATGCGTTGACACTTTACGGGTTTCGATATCCTTGGCCTGCACAATTTGATGTTCGGGAGTTGGAGCCCGATTTACTTATTGAACACAAAACAATACCGACGAGACATCTTGAGACATCTTCTATTCACTCTCCTTTTTTGTACGTAATGTTGGTAGTTTCTGTCTATCCAAATAGTTTGCTGAAATTTATGACACGATTGAAATTTGACGGACCTGTTACGGATAAACTAGACAAAACCCACTCTGGGCTGCTAGTGACTTGTACAAATTCCACCTTTGATTACAAAGGCTAAATTTTACTTAATTGGACGAGAGTCACCATGAGTACGTCACTGTCAGTTTAAAATAATCGAAAGTGTGACCTAAATTACAAATTTACTTTAAAATATAGAGCCTTGTTTGTTGGCACTATCTTAGGGCGTTGCCTTGGTATAATTTTGCCTTCTGATTGACTGAAGGACACTTATAATTAAGTACCTGTTCCCATGTATTGGGCTGAGAAGTAAAGAGTTAGCGGTCTCCTTACAGGAAGTGGCTGAATGATAATCCAATGGTCTTGATTCCTTTTGTTTGAGAATTCTGGCATATGCGAAATATCGTTAATTACCATACAAACTTATTATAAATGAGCTGGGATGTTTACCGGCCTGCTTTGTTTGGGGCTATTTGAGGTACGTCCATGAAATATATCCCCAAACTAAAAGCGAAGCTAGAAAATGTATATTAGCACGTTTTGGTGTCATAAAGTGAATAATATCAAAATTAAGTTTAGGGTGCCTTAACGACCAAATTAGGAGCGCCTGCCAAGAAAACAAAGTGGAACGACACTGTTTCGTTCGTTTTCTTTGCAAACATTTTTTGCGACAAATGAATGTCGGATTTTCCTGTAGAGCTGGTTATTCCGGGATTTTTTAATGTAGATCATTTACTGCAAATAGTTAGAGTCTTACGCACTTGAATGCACTCTTTTCATTTAATTGGGCACTTCTCATTTCCAATGGATGCCGTATCATGCAGCAATTGACTTCTGACAATTATATTAGTCTAGCACTTATACACTGGTATAGTTATGTAAAGCACTCCTACTTAAACAGGTTGGGTATTAACACTTGAAGAGGACAGTCATATTTTACACTTGCTTTATTGAGATGTCTAAAGGTTCCAACGTGAACAGCCTGTTTGGGAAGTTTGTGTGTTATCTGTTCAACTCTTTATACGACCATGTATGCATCAATGTCTTTAATATCTAACAAGGTATGTAATAATCCTAAATTATAAGCCGTAAGTTTCCACCCCACTTTACATCGCCTACTTGTGAAGTTCTTATAATTATTATTTACTTTTTAGGTGGCTTCTTGCAAAAACCATCGGAATTCGATTGGTTTATCCTGGGTGCTTAGGCTTGTTCAATTCATGGGCCCGTAAGTCTGTCACCTATCTGATAAATCACTTTGCCTAGAGTTGAAACATTTGTTTTTATAATGCGTAGGATGTCGGCGAACCCAACCTAATATTTGATATTACTGCAGATCATCTAACTGAACAGAGTCGCCAATGTTAATTCGCAATGATAACACTGAGCCGCACATAGGTTCAAATGTCGTCCTTATCTACACCAGTCAAAGTAGCCACAATGTCACGTTTTTGTGCAGCTTATTTAAACGCGTTTTACGTTCCTTGTGAATGTGTCCAGGCACACACGCTGCGATAACTCCCACTGAGTAAACGTTTTTTTGCGGTATCTTAACTGCCCTAATTAGAGTTGACCTCTTGGTCATAAACAAGTGGTGACTTTAGTTACCAACTTCGGTTACTGTGCGTCTATTGGATTCGTGGAAGACCAACCATGCCATTGGCTCTGCTATCCAGAGAGCGTGTTCCCTTGTTATGGCATAGCCATTGTGCTTGCGAAAAAACGCAATTTTTAGACTTGTGGTGGAGCGCTTGTCTCCCTTATTGCTTTGTTCTGGGTATCTTAGAGCGTTGAACGGTCAACACAAAACCCGCGCAAGTTCAAACCCCATCTATATTCAAATTGGTTCAATAAGATTTCCTTGTCTGTCTGGCGATTCTTATGCGGACATATTTTTCAAATAACCACTTATTATGTTTTCTTCGTATGCATCTGTAGTGGAACCACGAATGAAGGCCCTGGAATCTTTGCGAGCTACGGTAAGTATGTTTTCTAGATAAACTGTTCCTCGTTTGAATTTCCAGTATAGTATATGTAAGTGAAGATAAAGTGGATCCTGCTTTACAGAGTCTGCGTTTTGCTCGAAAGCCAGATGCACAAGTTGTGGTAAAACAACTCTCTTATTTGCTGTCCGGTCTGCTAGGACGTCTCTTTGAACAACATTTTTATTGGAAGTAATTTCCCCACTTCAAACGTTTCTCGGTCTGGACGTAATGTTGAGCTCTCACTATAGCAGAATTGGCCTTCTGAGCAGCCTCTAAGTCCGCATAATTCCTTGTTGTTGTACTGTTTTTGGTTGACTTGTCTTGCTTGAGCGGCATCTCCTGTTTAAAGCCTTGATTTTAAGGTTGATGGCCGCTCCAGGTCACTAAATGTTTTAATAAATCACAGCTCAACCACAATTTTCAACGGCCGATTTGGTGGCTAGTGAGATTCAATGAAACAATCAGCGTATGAGCACCAAAGTAATGCTCTGTTGAATTACGCGTCCTTCTTTGGTCAGGTCCAAGCGTTTCATGCGCCTTTAAATACTGTCCCCCGAGCTGTAAACATTACAGGGCTTATTTTTATCTCGATTTTTAATTCTAAGCGCAGCAAACCAATGATTTCAAATGCATTATGAGGGTTTCATTGCCCCAGCTTTCGCGATATGTGTATTTCCCTGCGAAGGAATTTCAGTGTAGACGTGTCATGTCAAGAATTATCAGATTTTCTTCCAATAACGTACAAGAGCACTCATTTGACTGTTGACTGAATTTTTTTATTATCAGTACAATATTCGCCGTGTCGGTCTCATTACTCGCGAAGGCCTGTTTGTCGAATCATTCTATGCCGATCGCCGGAAAGACGAATCAGAAAAAGGAAAAATTTTGGTAAGACTGCTTTGAGGCACTAACAACTGAAAGTATACTTTAAGGCTACCGAGGTGAGGCTCACTCTGGACTGTTGACCATCCAAAGTTTTAAAGTTGTACTCCTTCCATTATTTCACACTGGTTCATCCATTTAACGTAAATCTTAGCACTTTAAGCCTCCCAATCTGTTTCATGTAAGTTTCACCAGTCCGCAAAAGTCCAAACCCATTAGATTGCTATTTATGCATATTTTATGCTTGTAAAAGCCGGATCTTTGCGTAGAAACAGCCCAAAAAACTTGACTAGCCTTCCGCTTCTTGCTTAAGTGTAGGGCGGCTCCCTTCTTTTTGCTTAATTTTAAGGGTGCTAAAAAGGAAAGCAGGCGATGATGTTAAACCTTACCTACTCCACAATTTAATCAGTTAATACAAGAAGGGCGAGACCATCCTTTTGAGCGAGCTGCAAATAGCGAAAGCACTAGCGAAGGACGGGAAAAATGGGAATCAAGTGGTCAGCGTGCCTCTTTTTACAACGTAGATCACGCGCTTTTTTAATCTGCCTCTAATTTTGTTGTCTCAGTATGCTTGGCATATCAGTGTATATGAAGAGAAACTTCGCGCATTTTAATTAATGCAGATGGATCCTTGCCACCTCGACATTTTTCTCAGTGACTATATTTTTCGCAATGTTATTAGGTGATCTGTTGCGAAGGGAATGTGGGATTTGCTGAGATTGGGATCGTGAGCACTCCGTTGACCGCAGGCTATTCTGTCCTTGCATGGAATCACCCCGGATTCGGAAGCAGCTCGGTACGCAGTCTTTGTTGTGGCTCTGACGCATCTCCCTGAAGTGGCCGCGGTGCACGTAAAGAGCCGTATAGGGTAACTCGAATGCAAGGTAGTTAAGAAGAAAACACTGATAGACCAGCTTTCCAACTAGATGTGAATTAATGGGCTTGCAAAACCTCTCAACCAATTATCTTTATCGGTAAAGATCATAGAGAAAGTGCAGTGTAACAGCTTTTACCACTATTTTTTTGTGGCAAAATGTTGGACCTAGATACATGAAATATGAAACCCGTGTAAGAAGTGGTGCATAAATTTCATACCAAAGTACATCTATGTTAGTTGACATTACTAGTTCACTTAAAATTGTACTAGTAATGTGTTCAAGGAGTTATTGCCACTGGAGTTAACGAAATTATGATGAGGGCAGGAACAGCAAAGAGGCAAGCCAGTGAGTGGTCTCATCCCAATTTGCGTGCTTATTTGGTCAGGGTCTGCCGTTTCCCGAGCACGAACTTAATGCAATGGAGGCGGTTGTGCTCTTTGCTACGCAGTATTTGCACTTCGAGCTTCCGGACATCCGCCTGTTCGGCTGGTCGATTGGTGGCTTTCCTGCAACCTGGGCTGGAATGCACTTTCCTAATATTGGGGGATTGGTATGTCCTCATAGTTTCGTACATTCATTATTTGCTTTGTCAATTTGGTGTCTGCATAGTGGAGCCCGAAGTGGGTGGTAATTGGGACTTTGTTAGTACACCCACGCAATCAAAAACGATCTGCTTAGTGCATGGATGCATGGGATCTTAATGCAGTAAAGTGTCTTAAAGTCACATCGGTGTTCCGATCACCAATAATTCATCGTTAGATTGAATCGTTGCTCTTCTAGCGACATCAATTGCTGGGGTACTTGAGGAGACGCCCAGGGATGGGTTTACTGATAGGTCCATCACTAGGACTGATCGTGTACCTGGCTAGGTTGCTAAATCGAATCATATAATTTTGTCCATCAAAAAGAATGCCGTAGTTAAGCAGGTTCATCCCATGAAGTCGAAATGACTTGTCGAAAGTTAATTTTTGGACAATTACAAGCGACAGCAGCGTTCATGATTCAAAAGTGTGCAATTTGTGTTAAATTTATTACAAAAGGTGCAAATATTTTCATCGTCACTTGGTCTTTGTTACAATTTTAGATCCTGGACGCAACGTTCGATACACTTGATGAACTGAGCAAGAATGCGTTGCCATTTTTAAGGGGTTGGTTTTAGCCTAACATGTTAATCTCCATTTACAAACTCTAATCCTTTTAAATGCAACCTAATTGGATGCAATAAATTCATGTGCAGGTTATTTTTTGTCGGCCAAACGATGTTGGTACCTCTGTGTGGGGCTAATGCACTTTTACTTGTTTAACTGAAAAAAAGAGGATCGTATGAATCTTTTTCGGTGGTTGAAGGTTCAGTCTTGTACGCAAAACCTATCAGAGAAAATGATGTGCAACGCATTTTCGATCAAGCGGTTGTATTTACGTCACGCAACCCCATGCTGACCAGTGTTTCCTGGTCAAGCAAAGCATGTTTTTCACGCCAGATTATCAATACGTTTTCATTGAATGTTGCAGAATCAGTCCCGGTTGCTGTGGTTCGAAGATACTTCGATTTGAACAACCTCGCCCAGATAACCGAGTAAGTTGCCTTCATGAAGTGTGAGTACACACACGCACACAAATCCACCAGTTTTCCTCACAATCAATAGGTTTTGCAGAAAACGCCCAAGTCTGATTCGAATGCCCAGTGTCTGTCTAACTTATGAAATTGAAGTCGCGGCTTACTGTCGCTTTAAATGTCTTTTTATGCTGGTATATATGTAAATTGAAGTATTTATTGTGGTTTCAGGTATCCCGGGCCTATTTTGATCATGCGGCGAAGTCATGATGAGATCATCTCTACAAAGTGAGCATTATTTTAGATGTGCGTGTGCAAAATGTTGTGGTGCACTAATCACAATATTGGATTTACGGCGTGAAGGAGAACGTAAATCGAACGCGTTTGACTATTGGCTTCAAGCAGGCAATGGTCCGCTGCGATTTCAATTAAATGCTCCTGCTGACTTGGTTTTTTTCTTAAACTATAAACATTCACCGGTCAGTGTTTCAACTGACTAGTCTTGTCAGCAGGTTGTATTATCGATTTTCTTCGTATTGCAACAAGTGACTTCATTAGGTATTAACAGTTGGAATGAGCCTGAACGTATCTCGATTTTGTTCAACTAGATTTCGAAATTCATTGGACATTTGTTTGATTATTTACTGCCCACGTTCCGTAAACTGTGACGCCTTAGTTTATAAATGCCCACTTTCCTTTTTAGTTCGACTGAACAAATCCTATCGAACCGCGGAAATAATTTAGTAGTTGGACTACTTAAGTACAGGTATTTTCTTTCCCGTGAATACATGACTGCTAGCGAAAGTACGAATTAGTTGTAAAATATTAAGTGTACAGAGTCTTTGCCCAGTAGAGCTTTTTGGGACTGCAGTAATTCGACACTCAAACTGAACTCTATACAATGGTTCCATTCGTTTGTTGGAATTCCCTCCACAATACGGATATTTAATTTTACAGTAATCATATACTGACAGTTTCGGGAATAGAGTATGATATTATCTCTGCCTACGTTCATACAACCACAGATACTGGAGGCAATGAATGAAGACACAGCGTTGCCTCCGTGAGGCTGAATATTTTCCCTAGACAGCTATTTCAATCTGACATGTTGTTGTGTCCGGCAAGTCTTCCATGTAAACAGCTCTCATGTGATAAGTAAATATTCTATGCCATATTTTAATCAGCTTTTCCCAATTATTTTACACTGTCCCGTTTCAGATTCCCACATCTATTTAATGATGACACAGAGGCGGTGCTCTGGAAGTATCTCGCAATGGATAGAAGCGCGCAAGGCATGTCTCGTTAGTATTGTTGCACCCTCACGAACACGATACCCTATCCTCATCGACACGAGAAGCATTTGAGGCGGTTGCCTAATATCTCTCAAATTTAGTTACATGTCTGCGTAAACACTTTCCGACCGCTATTGCAGGAAGGACATGCATGAGTTCACTGATTATACATTGCAGGGTTTACGACTTTTTGGACTTAAAATGGTGGTGTGATTTAGTTATCCGAAGCAAGTGTGTGGATCTTTTTTTGCTGTTCTTTTGTGTGAAGGGCACATGCTTTTTGCAACCAAGATTTGTGAATGTTGTGTATTCGTGGTTTTTCGTTCAAGAGCCAAATCAAAATGTGCTATTTAATGTATGGACTTCGACAATTTATTCAGTTTTAAAGATTTCATTATCCATTCTGACCACATGATCGAAAATTTACTTCATTTGAGACATTCAGCCCTATTAACAACTTATCCACAATAATTTTATAACTCGTAGTGGTTGGAGCCAACTAACAGCAAATCTAGCGTATTAAGTTGCTCAGTGTATACTTTTTGCTGTTTTTTTCGGAATACATTTTGCCTTAATTGAATGTAATGGCGGAATTTTACTCTGTCTTGAGTTCCTTTTACCCAAGCTACACCGATTCTTTAAAATGGCCATTTACCAAATCTTGAAATTTGCGTACTTTTTTTTAATTAAGCGCTTTAAAGGGTTAGGAGTTCTGATAATCATTGTACTGTCCCTAGAATCTTACCTGGCGAAACACGCCATTGTGGACGACATGATAGGGCCCATTTTGCAACGCGAGTTCCGCAAGGAGCTACTGGATTTCGCTTGTACGGAGGACGAGGAGATGCTCGGCCTCGTAACGGAAGTACACCGCTCCCTCCCCTTTCCTTCACACTTGGGTGAAAGTGGAATCAGTGACGCCATGAAGCGCTCTATCCTCATTTACTTGGTATGCTTGCTTTTAGTGATGCCAAGGGATAAAACGTTCTCCACACCATCTTTAAGAAATATGAAAGTTTTGGTTGGTTCTGTGCCCAAGCATCCGTCACCACCAAATGCTTAATGCGACGTTAAAAGCGTACTAGGAATCGATGGCTTATGTGATTCATGTATATTTGAGTGCTTGAATGAGCAAAAGTTTGAGATTTCGTTATTTTAGTTTGTTATGGTGTTACACTGGCCTTTTCGCGTGTTTTCCATTCAAGAAGAGTGCTTTAAGACGCAAGTCATTAATTTCGACATGGAAACTACGAGTTTAAGTTTCGGAGTACTCTCGATAATATTGCTCTGTCGTGCGAAACAGTTGGAAATGCATCCATAATGTGGTCGAAAGAATTTTAAAAAAAATGGCGTTTTCTCAAGACCTAAAAATAGATATGGTTTCAGTAATTGACACGATAAAGTACCCCAACCAGATGGTACTGTTAATCACTATCGGTATGAACCCATGTGAGCGATGTCCCCATATGTTTTTGTAGACAAGCAAGTATTTCGTCGAAGTTAAAGGCACCCATTGTACATCCTTGGACTCGGAGGCTTTCCAAGAGCCCTGGTCTGAGCACCTCATTCTCAGTCGCTCGCAAACTGTTAACACCGATTCGGGTGCAACTGATGATGAAAACGCTGATGACGTTGAGAAAGAAGAGGAAGGAAATGGTTGGGAGAAGGTGGCTTGAATCGTCACAGGCACACCCATTTCCTCGTAAACTATTTCTTCCACGCGATATTCATGTATACTCCCTCATTTTCTTCTCGTATGACTAAAGTAAAACAAATTTTAGCGCGATTCTTAATTTTAATCCAAATATATATTTGGTTAGGTAAATTCCTTGGGATTTTGTTTGAGCACAAACGACCCAACCCAATGTGACAAGTCCACGCTATCGGTACTACTAGCTGTGATGGGGAAACCGAAAGGGCCTACGTGGGTCTATGGTCGCGGGCTTTACCACTTTATATAGGTGGAGAAGTCATTGCATGTCACTTGTTTCCTGCGTCAAATGCAATTTACCTTTGTATCCCTTTTCAAGACACCATGGCATCAGTATGAAAACGGCAAACTCGCCATGAGCTTTGATCAAAGCAACCGACACTAAACGGATATGGGCCCGTTTTATAGTTATTCGAAAGTGGCCGCGTGCCAGTACCAGGTCAATGAAGAATTGCGGCTTGCGTCGACTACTCAGTAAGTTTCAGTGATTAGCTGCTGGACGTTTGCCCGCAGGCACTTTGAGTGGGATCGCAAGGAATTCAAACCGAGGAAAATTGTTGCCTAGAGCATGCCTTAACGTCGGATTACGAGAAGATCCACTCTAGTTAAACGAAAGCAAATTATTGGTTACTCTTTCTGCCTTAAACTGTTTACAAAGATTGGAATTGGGTGGCTTGCGGTTCGGACGTAGGACAAGTGAGATAAACGATTGAAAACTTACAAGAACGAGTAGAAAGTTAAAAGTAGCGACCAACTCGGCCACAAATCTAATAGAGGGGTATAAATTTAGGCGCAGGATGCATCTGCCAAAGCATAGCCGAAATTGTCGAAAGTTTGATTCATCAAAGCAGTCACAACTGCTTTGCTATATGCTCACTTTTGGTTTGCTCATCATACGCCCAGTGGTACAGTTAGCTACTGTGAACAATTATTATGCATTCTACCTCTACGGAAAGTTCGTACTTTAATCCAACATTGTCCCAAACACGTCCAGAGAAGACATAAAACCAAGCAGAGGTCTCAATATGAACGGAAACCGATTTAAATCACAAAACTATATTTAAGAAAAAAACGCTCCGTGATCGAGAGTATTCAGTTGAAATTTGTCACACTAATTGGCGGAGGTTAAGAGCCTGGCCGCCGCCTGATCAAGGTGCCAGGAGGGCTTTGCAGCCAGAGGCTGAACCATGCTAGCGGGATATGCCGTGGAGGGCTGCTCACCTTCGATTATTTTCTGAAGCATAGGAAGAAACGATTTATTGGATCCATAAAGCGCCACCGAGAATACTAAAAGCTTTGCAACTACCATATCCGTTGAATCCCATTATGGAACCCATGACGAACTTAGTATAAACCCCAGCTCAGGTAATTTTGAAAGCGGATTGTTGTTTACTCTATAACTTGAAAGTTTCGAAGAATCAAGTACTACGACTGCTGCTTTGATAACATAATTATTTTAAACGGATGGCAAGAGCATCCAACCCCAAAAAGTAAAAGCGCTGGAATAGCCAAGTACTTAGATGGATATTAGAGCGCTTGCAATGCTAGCTAATGAGCTACGATAACAACCGTATTAGAAGCACGACGCTGCCTCCTACCAAACGTCTCAGTACTTCTTTAGGATATTAATGGCGTCTTATCGCGAAAAAATAAGGTAAAAGTAACAACCAAAAATATCATAATAACAGATTAGAGTGCGCAGTCATTCAAGCCCAGCATACTCCCTTTGGAAGCTGAGAAGGTGTTTTGGCTAAGTTGCTCACCTTTATAACCTCGGCCTTGTTGTCGCCAGTGACAATAAAAATCACCTTGTTTGCCTTGTTTATGACGGGGAGTGTTAGAGTTACTCGATTTGGTGGAGGTTTTGGACTGTCAGTGATTGGGGCAACTACCAAATTTTCAACCTATAAAAGATAGAACAGTAAATGTTGCAGGGCACACAAGTTAACATGCTAGCTCAGTAAACTAAAGTCTGGCTGCGGGTTTACAATAACACAAACCAAGATCAAGTAAAAAGGTTGACATGCAGCCAGTACAGTGAAGCAAAAATGTTATGCCGGCAAACATACTTCCAGGAGTTTGTGTCGCGGAAAGAGAGAACAAGTATGACCATCTGGACCAAGACCAAGAAGAAGCAAGTCAAAGACTGGATAGCCATTTTTTGCTCCGAAAAAATCTAAGAGGTCCCTCTGATAGGCCTCCGCCACATCTTTCGTACTTGGTTCACTAAGATCAATCTTGTGTACAACCGGTTCGGGGCAAAGTTTTGAAAAGAGCTCCTTCTGATAAATTCCGAAAGTTGATTCTGGGTCGTCAAAAGGGACAATTCTTTCGTCGCAAAAGAAGAAGTGCACACGACTCCAGTCAACATCATCAAGTGCAATTAATCCAGAGGATATTATTGAGGGCATTGAGCCACCTAAAACAAAAAAGGCACGCCCAAATTTTAAATTATTAAATTTGCACTTGCGTGTCTCATACACTAGCTAACAGAACAAACCTGATAATCCAACCGAAACATCCATTTTGTCACGAGCAGTCTTACGAAGCACATCGTGAATTTCTTCAACAACGGCACTTCTCAAAGCACTACTAGATGCACTGACGATGACACGAGGCATTTGAAATCTATAAATGGCAAATAGATATTTGATAAAATAATGGCAAAATATAAGGCGAATATTCAAGGGGTGTTAGGGACATTGAAACAAGGACTTAAATAAACCTACCTTGACGCAAATAAACTCAAATTACGACAACTACCGTTCTGAATTCGAACTAACATAAATAAAAGTTATCACTGAGGCAGTCGACGTAATTAAATAATGCCGTGGGTGCGGCAACCCAAAGAAACAAAATGAGTAGGCGCCTTAGTATACATCCGATTGGAAACATAACGTATGAGTTTAACACAAAACTCAGGATTAGTAAACGGAGGTGAAGAAATAATGACATACAAGCAAAGCCAGAATATGTGAGGATAAAAGGAAATTAAGGAAAGTCTGAACACGATTTTGTAAAGTCCGGCAAATGAAAAATGAGTCATTTGTGGTTGCTCAATCGAGATTGGCTATTCAGGGAATTTTATCAAGATTTGAAGCACTTCCAGAACCTGATTCTGTACATTCTTAAATGCTATTTTGCAGGGTTAAGTGATAATCCATACGGTATTTGCAGGTAAATTCTTTTCGAGATTCCTCAATTTGCTCACAAGGGTTACTTGAACCGACCAATTAAAACACGAGTTTGGGGCCAGCTGTTAATTGGTCTATAATTTTGGGGTAGGCT